TATGAACTCATATATGTAATTAGATTTTGATTTGGTTTAATATTAATGCATGAATTTGTGTTTTAAAGTTTAATGGGTTTTTGGATTTTGAAACGGGTTGGAGGTTTGAGAATGATTTGGGTTAATTGTTTGGTATGGCTGAGTTTAGGGGGTCTTAAGGAGTTGTTTAGTGGTGGTTTGATGGTTTGCCGTGGCGTGTGGTGGTGTAATGGTGGTGTGAGGGTTTTGAAGAAGTGAAAATGTGATTTTTTTATCAAAACTTGTTTAAGCTTTGAAAGGAGGCTTGGGTCTAGCTAATTTGGGGTCAAGGAATCCATTTCCGATCTCAGAATTGAATTTAGAGGTCATTTTGGGGGTGAAACGGGCAGTTGCAGGTTTGCCCTTGTGTTTAAAAAATAATTTTTGGCCAACTTTGACCAATAATTTGATGATGTTAGAATTTAATTCAAGGGTTGAGTCTAAGTGGGATTGATACTAAGTTATCCAAGGAGTATGTAGATGTTAAAATCAAGGGATATGGTGTACTGTAGTGGGAGAACCAGGTGGTCAAAGAAGGATGGTTGAGCAGAAATTTTTGCACTTGGGGCAAAAGTCAAAAATAAACTAAGGTTGAATTTCAAGTCGATCCGACACCAATTTTGGATNTTGCACTTGGGGCAAAAGTCAAAAATAAACTAAGGTTGAATTTCAAGTCGATCCGACGGCAATTTTGGACTCATCCGACCTCTGGTTTGTTCCAAAAGATCTGTAATGTTCATGCGGAGGTTCTGGTAAAATTTCAAGTCGATCCAACGGTCGGATCAAAATGAGGAGTAAAATGACTATTTTACACTTCGGGGTCAAATTGACCTAGTTTTGAGTGATTTTGAGAAAATAAATTTTATATTCATTCTTAGTTAGTTTAATTGAGTATGCGTATTAAATATCATTGAAAAATAAAATTATTTAATATTTGGTNAATCTATAATATTATAGTGCTTGATTTAATAGATATGTGATTGTGAAAAAAAAATTATTTTTTAAATAATTTTTGAAATTAGACAAAATAGGGAAATTACCAAACTGCCATGGAAATGTCAAGACTCTTCTACACATGCGAGGTGGCTGNTATTTGGTTATTTTAGATTAAAATACCGAGTGGGTAGGGTTTCTCAATTCTGGAACAGGCGATACTTTTCCAACTTGTTTCCAAATTATTCCATAATTTATTTATGATATTTTAGCATGTTTCAAAATATTTGATTGGGTGTTTTGCATATNTATGCGTATTAAATATCATTGAAAAATAAAATTATTTAATATTTGGTTATTTTAGATTAAAATACCGAGTGGGTAGGGTTTCTCAATTCTGGAACAGGCGATGCTTTTCCAACTTGTTTCCAAATTATTCCATAATTTATTTATGATATTTTAGCATGTTTCAAAATATTTGATTGGGTGTTTTGCATATTGACTTGGATCCGAACCTGGATGCAAGGTTTCAGAGTGCGGGTTGCACTAATGTTTTAGAAATAATAGTATTGCTTGATTTGTTCCTATTGAATGAAACTCCAAGATTTTTTTTTATAGAAATATAAGTGCACACAGGTCGAATGACAAAAGNTGATATTTTAGCATGTTTCAAAATATTTGATTGGGTGTTTTGCATATTGACTTGGATCCGAACCTGGATGCAAGGTTTCAGAGTGCGGGTTGCACTAATGTTTTAGAAATAATAGTATTGCTTGATTTGTTCCTATTGAATGAAACTCCAAGATTTTTTTTTATAGAAATATAAGTGCACACAAGTCAAATGACAAAAAAGGTTTACATTCCAGTTTAAGGCTGTAGAGGATACTTATTGAGTTTGTAAATGCCTGGGTGACCCTGTTGGTCTTCAAACTTGAGTACTGAACATTGACTAGGAAGCGTATCTTCCTCGGGGTAGAAGTCCCTGAAAAGGTTGGATTGTATGTTCGTATGGACCCGTAGTGGTCTATTATGATGAATTAACCACCAGTGTAGCATTGTACTTAAATTTCTGAACTCTCTTTTACGATTTTATTTATCTGTCATAGTGTCACATGAAATGACGTTTTGTTGACATATATGTATCAACTGCTCATTTGGATTCTTGCCCAATCATGCTAAACTATACTATTTTCAAACTCGTTTGCTTGGAAATTGAGATACTCTACTGAGCTGTTGATGCTCACACCCTACGTCACTTTTCCTTTTTCAGATGTGAGAAATCTGGGAGATGTGTACATAATAACCTACCAAGATTTTCGGTATATCTTAGGAAGTTGTATCAAAAGTTTGTAGCAGAATAAAAGAAAAACTAATGTGTAACGTATACTTAATTGAATAATAGGTTGTAATAGTTCGTAATATATTAGGTTAAAAGTTTTGCATATGTTTATAAAATAATATGTGGTTTGTAAATTGTGGGTTATTATGCTATACTACATGACTTCTTGGTATTGTAATGTTTTGGGGATTAAAGTAACATCTGTCACATGTCGAGCCGATTTGGGGTGTGACAAAGTTGGTATCAGAGCATGGTCACGATCTTATATGGGTCACTATTACATTTATGTGAATATTAGTTGTTAATTAATGTATGGTTTTATAGGAAATATGTCAATTTGGGATGATCTCCACATATATATTCAGGAATGGGGATATGGTTCCATGGTGGAAACATACGACAAGATGATCAACAGAGAAGCAATAAAGGTGCTTCAAGAGAATATTCTAGAGGTCGTTGGGACTTGGCTTTTACTTCCTCCAAGAGAGCAAAAACGTTTTGTGCAAAATCGAATGACCAGGATGTTAAGGACTGCAAAGAGAGCAATAAGTATAGTTAGAAACGAGAACTGTTATCGAGTGTTGTTAGAAGAAATGCCTGTGCAACGGGCAGGGGTGTTGACCTCCCATCTGGATTAGGGGAGATGGACAATAGAATACTGAGGAAAATGAGACATTCTCGGTCAATTCATGGGAAGCGGGTGAGATGAACACACCGGATAATGATAGGGAAAATCCAGTGCACATCTCAGATAATGGGGAAGATGATTAACTGCAGGGATGTGAAACCAAGAACTAAATTATGTATCTAGTGTGTAGGGTGTAAATAAACTAACAGGGTATGAGGTAGCAGTATAAGAAAAATAAGAATACTGCTTGTACTACATGGATGTCAGATTATTTTGGGTGTGTGTGTGAATCTGACTTTATGTGTCACCCGGTTATCTTTTGACTCTGAATATGAAATAGTATTAAGTTGTTTTACTAAAAGTTTAGATATGAAAATGGGTGGCTATGTTTAAAGTATTTTATGAGTTGTTTTTATATAATGATTATTGATGTTTATATTGATGATTGGCAGTTACAATTCCTGTTATGGCACATTGGGATGAATTGTTTATGCTTCAATATATATTGGAACACCATGAAATAGAAAAGAGACGTCAGATCCGAATCTATGCAGAGGCACTACATTTAGCTATAGAAGAAACGCGTGACGTGACTCGTAATTGGAGGGAACTTGGACTTGAACAGCAGCAAGCTCGTGTGCAAAATAGGCTAAATGCACAGCTTGAAGTAGTTCAACGGGCTAGAAACCTAGAAAGAAATAAAAGGATACCACAAGTTCCAAATAATCAAAATGGATGGTTGGAAGCAGAACCGGAGGTACTAGCATGGGAACTGGAAGTAGATTCTGATACTTCTACTATTACTGATTCGGAAGATTAGGAGGGTGTGAAGTTTAGTGTGGATAGAATGGAATGTGATAGTACTCTAGACTATGAATAAATGTGTATTAAAGTATGTGCATGTATGTGATTATATGTGACTGTATGATAAATAATGACAAGTAAATATAATAAGTATTAAGTTCTAAATGAGAAATTTAAGCTCAAAGAAATTTTGTTTGGAGTATATCTTATGGTTAATTGCTAGTTGGGAAACTTAAGATAATTTTTCTTCAAGTAAAGAAACTAATCACTTATGTTTGGTGATTTGGTTAGGAAAGGGTGAACACATGGGGAGGAAATGGAAAACAGGTGGATACATCCACTGAGGATGAATACCCGGAGTGACAAAATGAGAATATTGCTGAACCGGGGCATGGAGGGTTACAACAATTATATCAATGTCTGGCTACACTTACTACGCTAATCCAGACTCAAATACTGGGAATACCTGGAAACCCGAAAAATACACCTGCACAGCCAGAACAAGTGCAAGGAGTGAGGAATGTAGAGATTCCTCCAGTACCTAATATAATCGGAGGGAATGAAAGGGAGCGAGAAGAAAATGATCGAAAAAAAACTTGAGAATAGGTCAATGATGATTCTGAAGGAATTTCTCAAGCAACGTCCACCATTATTCCAAGGAACTACTAAAANTAGGCTAAATGCACAGCTTGAAGTAGTTCAACGGGCTAGAAACCTAGAAAGAAATAAAAGGATACCACAAGTTCCAAATAATCAAAATGGATGGTTGGAAGCAGAACCGGAGGTACTAGCATGGGAACTGGAAGTAGATTCTGATACTTCTACTATTACTGATTCGGAAGATTAGGAGGGTGTGAAGTTTAGTGTGGATAGAATGGAATGTGATAGTACTCTAGACTATGAATAAATGTGTATTAAAGTATGTGCATGTATGTGATTATATGTGACTGTATGATAAATAATGACAAGTAAATATAATAAGTATTAAGTTCTAAATGAGAAATTTAAGCTCAAAGAAATTTTGTTTGGAGTATATCTTATGGTTAATTGCTAGTTGGGAAACTTAAGATAATTTTTCTTCAAGTAAAGAAACTAATCACTTATGTTTGGTGATTTGGTTAGGAAAGGGTGAACACATGGGGAGGAAATGGAAAACAGGTGGATACATCCACTGAGGATGAATACCCGGAGTGACAAAATGAGAATATTGCTGAACCGGGGCATGGAGGGTTACAACAATTATATCAATGTCTGGCTACACTTACTACGCTAATCCAGACTCAAATACTGGGAATACCTGGAAACCCGAAAAATACACCTGCACAGCCAGAACAAGTACAGGGAGTGAGGAATGTAGAGATTCCTCCAGTACCTAATATAATCAGAGGGAATGAAAGGGAGCGAGAAGAAAATGATCGGAAAGAACTTGAGAATAGGTCAATGATGATTCTGAAGGAATTTCTCAAGCAACGTCCACCATTATTCCAAGGAACTACTAAACCTTTAGAAGCTGAGAAGTGGTTATGACAAGTTAAAAAGGTGATGGATGCTATGGGTATTTCACAATGATATAGAGTGGGATTAGCTACGTATTTGTTTGAAGGAGAAGCTGATCATTGGTGGGATCTTATTAAAGGAAAAGAACCGGTAGAAGGTATGGTGTGGGAAAGATTTGAAACGATTTTTAACGGTAAGTATTTCACCGAAAGTGTTAGGGATGCTTTATTGTTGGATTTCTTAAATTTGCAACAAGGTGGGATGAGTGTAGCTGAATATGAGGCACGATTTGAAGAATTAGCACACCATGCAGGTGAATATGTAGCTAATGATGTTAAGAAGACAAAACATTTTACTCTTGGGTTGAACAGTACGATCAGGGAGAGAATTTCAACTTTGAGGATAAGGAATTTTAGTGAGATGATAGAAGTGGCACATATAATAGAGAAAGAGATGAAATTAAAGGATTTTCAAGGTGTGCAAATTCAAAGGAGGAATAATCAGCCATATGGAAATAATGGAGGATCAAGGAATCATCCATATGTGCGACCTGGTAATAGCAACGAAAAGAGCAGACTAAATAATGGACCAGGAGGTGATAATAATACAAAGGATTGGCATACTTGTTTTCATTGTGGAAANATCAAGGAATCATCCATATGTGCGACCTGGTAATAGCAACGGAAAGAGCAGACTAAATAATGGACCAGGAGGTGATAATAATACAAAGGATTGGCATACTTGTTTTCATTGTGGAAAGATAGGACATATGAGGAATAGATTTCCACAGTTACCATGGGAAGAGAAAAAGAATTATCCGAGGTATCAGCAGGGTGAGGGATCAAAACCACCTGCTATGCAAGGACAGAAGACACCACAAAATCAATCTGGCGGGGAACAAGGAAACTGAGATATGGACGAGTGTATCAAATAACTGCGAAACCAATTGACTAATGGGTCAAGGTAAGTGTTTTCTTACTTTGGAAGCTTGAATATGGATACATTGATATGTTTTGTGAGTCCATGAGTGTAGATAAGTAAATTTCGAGGACAATTTCTTTTAAGGTGGGTAGATTGTAATAACCAAGTTTCAATAATTAGGAATCGTTGGATGTGTACGATTAGGAGTTCAAATCGATGTCCGAAATTTTAATCGATAATTTTATAGTGTTTGATTTAATAGATATGTGATTGTGAAAAAAAAAATTTAATTAATTTTCAAAATTAGACAAAATAGGGAAATTACCAAACTGCCATGGAAGTGCCAAGATTCTTCTGCACATGCAAGGTGGTTGATGGAGGCTTGCTAGGCTGCATGGAGGACACCCATCTACTTGGGGAGAGTTAAGTGAGATGCTTGAGGGGGTATAAAATGGAGAAGGATTCGATGGGAAGAGAGAGAGAGAGGAGAAAGAGAAGTTAGAGAGAGAAACTATACACTTTACATTTTTGAATTCTTATAGAGACTACTTCGAGCACTAAGAGGGATACTCACAGCCTAATATGAATGTTAGGAACTCATATATGTAATTAGATTTTGATTTGGATTAGTATTAATGCATGAATTTATGTTTTAAAGTTTAATGGGTTTTTGGATTTTGAAACGNGACCAGGATGTTAAGGACTGCAAAGAGAGCAATAAGTATAGTTAGAAACGAGAACTGCTATCGAGTGCTGTTAGAAGAAATGCCTGTGCAACGGGCAGGGGTGTTGACCTCCCATCTGGATTAGGGGAGATAGACAACNGGAACTCATATATGTAATTAGATTTTGATTTGGATTAGTATTAATGCATGAATTTATGTTTTAAAGTTTAATGGGTTTTTGGATTTTGAAACGGGGTTGGAGGTTTGAACATGATTTGGGTTAATTGTTTGGTATGGCTGAGTTTGGGGGTCTTAAGGAGTTGTTTAGTGGTGGTTTGATGGTTTGCCGTGGCGTGTGGTGGTGCAATGTTGGTGTGAGGGTTTCGAAGAAGTGAAAATGTGATTTCTATCAAAACTTGTTTAAGCTTTGAAAGGAGGCTTCGGTCTGGCTAATTTGGGGTCAAGGAATCCATTTCCGGTCTCATAATTGGATTTAGAGGTCATTTTGGGGGTGAAATGGGCACTTGCAGGTCTTCCTTTGTGTTTAAAAAATGGTTTTTGGGCAACTTTGACCAATAATTTGATGATGTTGGAATTTAAATGAAAGGTTGAGTATAAGTGGGATTTATACTAGGTTATCCAAGGAGTATGTGGATGTTAAAATCAAAAGATATGGTGTACTATAGTGGGAGAACCAGGTGGTCAGAGTAGGATGGTTGTGTAGCAATTTCTGCACTTCGGGCAAAAGTCAAAATAAACGAAGGTTGAAGATGAAGTGGGCAGTGGAATCCGATGGAAATTTTGGATTCATCCATGCTCTGATCAAACTCTGGTTTGTTCCAAAAGCTCCGTAACGTTCATGCGGAGGTCTCGGTAAAATTTCAAGTCGATCCGACGGCCGGATCAAAATGAGGAGTAAAATAACTGTTTTGCCCTCTGGGGTCAAATTGACCTAGTTTTGAGTGATTTTGAGAAAATAATTTTTATATTCATTCTTAGGTAGTTTAATTGAGTATGTGTATTAAATTTCATCGAAAAATAATATTGTTTAATTTTTGGTTATTTCAGATCAAAATACCGAGCAGGTAGGGTTTATCAATTTTCGGAACAGGCGATGCTTTTTCGACTTGTTTCCAAATTATCCTATAATTTCTTTATGATTTTTTAGAATGTTTTGAAATATCTGATTGGGTGTTTTGAATATTGACTTAAATCCGGACCTGGATGCAAGGTTTCAGAGTGCGGGTTGCACTGACGTTTTGGAAATAATAGTATTACTTGAATTGTTCGTATTGAATGAAACTCCAGGATTTTTTTTTATGAAAATATAAGTGCACATGGGTCGAGTGAAAAAAGGGGTTTACATTCCACTTTGAGGTCACAGAGGATACTCATTGAGTTTGTAAATGCCTAGGTGGCCTTATTGGTCTTCGGACTTGGGTACTGAGTGTTGACTAGGGAGCGTATCTTCCTCGGGGTGGAAGTCCCCCAAAAGGTTGGATCGTATGTTCATATGGACCTATAGTGGTCTATTAGGATGAATTGCCCCCAGTGTAGCACTATACTTGAATTTCTGAACTCTCTTTTATGGTTTTATTTATCTGTCACAGTTTCACATGAAATGACGTTTTGTTGACATATATGTATCAACTGCTCATTTGGATTCTTGCCTAATCATTCTAATATTTTCAAACTCGTTTGCTTGGAAATTGAGATACTCTACTGAGTTGTTGATGCTCACCCTACGTCACTTTCCCTTTTTCAAATGTGAGAAAGCTAGGAGATGTGTACATAATAACCTACCAAGGTTTTCGGTATGTCTTAGGAAGTTGTATTAAAAGTTTGTAGTAGAATAAAAGAAAAACTAATGTGTAACGTATACTTAATTGAATAATAGGTTGTAATAGTTAGTAATATGTTAGGTTAAAAGTTTTGCATATGTTTATACAGTATTCTATGGTTTGTAAATTATGGGTCATTATGCTATGGTATGTGACTTCTCAGTATTATAACATTCCGTGGATTAAAGTAATACCTGTCACATGCCGAGGTGATTCGAAGTGTGACACCCCCAAACTTAAACTAAACATTGTCCTCAATGTATAAAGTAGGAAAAATTAAGACAGAGGACTTCCCTGAAACTTCACTAGTCGGCATCGTCGTCAACGTCTTCGTCGTTTGTTGGGTCAGGAGTTTATTCGGGAAACATAGGTGGACTGTTCTTGGCTTCTAGTAAGGCTTTGTGTGTGCTTCAACTTTATGTTCAATCATTGGGACCTGCAAGCAATTGACATACCAATTAAAATGCACTAACTAACTAGCTACATTATTTTTTATAAAAAAATAATTTAAAATAAAATGAAATAAAACTTAGAAACTAAAATTTGGGTTGCCTCCCAATTAGCGCTTGTTTTATTGTCTTTAGCTTTATTACTTCTTGTTTCATCCCGGGTCGGCAGGGGTAATTGAGATCTTTTCACGATCAATGTCACCACCCCAATAGTACTGTTGAGTTTAGAGAATTAACACAATATTAGAGAGCAATAGAGATAGTTTAAAAAAACATAACTTAGCTCTCATATTAGGGAGCAATAGAGATAGGTTAAAAAAACATAACCTAGCTCTCATACATCACTTGTATTTATAGTTAACTCACAATAATAAGAATTACACATAATACCCTAACATTATTAACAATTTACACATACTACCCTAATACTCTTAACACTCCCCCTCAAGCTGGACTATATATATCATATAATCCAAGCTTGAAACAAATAGCTATAAGACGTGTACGACTCAATGCTTTGGTAAACATATCTGCAAGCTGATCTTCAGATTGCACAAATGGAGTCATAATCTCTCTAGCTACTATCTTGTCCCGAATAAAGTGACAATTAACCTCAATATGCTTGGTTCTCTCGTGAAACATAGGATTAGTAGTGATATGGATAGCTTCCTGATTGTCACAGAATAATGGTAAAGGAAGTTGAGCTGGAAATCCAATTTCCTGGAGGAAGTGTAGTAGTTNTTCGGACTTGGGTACTGAGTGTTGACTAGGGAGCGTATCTTCCTCGGGGTGGAAGTCCCCCAAAAGGTTGGATCGTATGTTCATATGGACCTATAGTGGTCTATTAGGATGAATTGCCCCCAGTGTAGCACTATACTTGAATTTCTGAACTCTCTTTTATGGTTTTATTTATCTGTCACAGTTTCACATGAAATGATGTTTTGTTGACATATATGTATCAACTGCTCATTTGGATTCTTGCCTAATCATTCTAATACNACATTACCTCCTAAGAAAGTACAATAACCAGTGGTTGATCTCTGATTAGAAGGAGAGCTAGCCCAATCAATATCTGAGAAACCTTCCACTCTAAGATGTCCATTGACTCGATATAACAGTCCAAGTCCAGGAGCTCGTTTGAGATATCACAGAAT